TTTACTATATTATACTATATTATATATATATATATACTATTAGTATATTATTATATATATAATAATATAATATTATAATATATACAGTATATATATAGTATAATAATATTATATATATATATAATATAGTTATTAATTTTCGACTTTTTTCAGTGGAAGGGTTTATATTTATATACCCTTAATTATAATAATAATATTTTCATGTGAAAGCACTATACATAGTTCATTATTCCTTCTCGGCATTATTTCAAGGTAATTAAAATATTAAATATGTTAAACAAAAATCACGTTATCCAGTGCTGTAGAAGTACAGTGTCGTACAAAGGTTTTCGCAATTTTCTGATCGCGTTAGGGCAAAAATCATACAATCATACAAAATTATAAATAAACATTTTATACAAAGACCCGTAGTCTAATTGCCATCTTATGCCCATGCAAATTCATCGGTAATCTAGCAGCGATCCGACGAGATCCACTTCATAATTTAATTGCGGATACATGGCACCGTTTTACCAAAATACACGACAGCTTTATAGTCGATGAAGAGAATACGATGCTCCGAGCCGTCGGAGAAGCCGATTGAAGTGTTTACAGGGCGAAACCGTGCTCCAGTGTCTAGACCACGTTCTTTCGAAGTAACGGTGTATACTACACACAATATCTGTGATACGTGCATACGGGGCTGTAATATGGTGGCACTCGACGCACGGCGGTGATAAACAAACAGTGATCAATCGGTCTGCCAGTGTATCGGTCTTCGAACGTTGCCATTGGCAAACCAGGCCGTGATCCGTCTACGTATCTGGCCAAAGAGGCGAGCGGTTTTTGCGCGAGAACGAACACGCTTGAACTTTGTCGTCTTTCTCTTTAATCGACCTTAGACACTTCGAGGTACCGCGGCTCCAAAAATTAGGAGAGGCGTGTTTGAATAAACTGACTTTTCCTAGAACCCGTAATCTTAAGATTATTATAGATTATTATTACGGGTTCTAGGAAAAGTCAGTTTATTCAAACATGTCTCTCCTAATTTTTGGAGCCGGTTATATATATATATATATATAATAAGCTAATATATATATATCCTATAATAGCTTATTATAGGATTATTAGCAGCATATATATATATATAACATATAATAATATATTATGTTATATTATATTATATATATATATAACCGGCTCCAAAAATTAGGAAATTCTAGGAAATTCTAGGGAAAGTCAGTTTATTCAAACATGTCTCTCCTAATTTTTGGAGCCGGTTATATATATATATCCTATAATAGCTTATTATAGGATTATAGGATTATATGTAGGCTTATCATAGGATTATTAGCAGCACGCACACTGCTGTGCATACTCACATTGCATGCATAACTTAGAACATAGGGTTGATCAATTAATGATGTATTTCTGAAGTCTTTTTTAAAGGTGCAAACAATGTGATTTCAGTAATTTATGGATAATGAGTAGACTGCGGATGTTTATGCAAAATTATCGAAATTATGCATACATCGAAATGTACAAAATGTATGCAAAATTAATGCAGAATATATTCAAATTGTATTATTAATTACAACTATTATTATTAATTACAATTGTGTTATACAATTGCAAATGCAAATTGTATTATTATCTGCACTATTTAGTACTACTATTTACCGTAATTTGCATTACAATGTGTTACGATTATTTTATACTATATTCTGGTCTCTTTTATCAGATCAAATTAATTTAACCTTTACGCTCAAGAGGTGACTCTAAGGCATCACCCCCCCCCCCCCACATTTCCCGCTTGTACAATAACTTTGGGACACCCTGTATAATTATATCTAGACATTCGTTTGATTTTCTTCACGTTTTTTTTTTAAATACAACATTTCTAGAAAATATATAATTTCATAAAGAATATCAAAGTATATATGCTTCTTAACCAATCAGCTGTTAACGAGTATACTCGTCATGAAGAAATAACAACATCTCGTGTGATTTCGTGGGAATTCTTCAAATGAGACGGTAGAGTTTCGAGAACAAGTTCGTTCGCGATCAATGAGTTTAGAGAGTCTGGAACGCGAGAGATCTCGTTTGCAGCGTCCAATTGACAGCAATGCTATCGTAGCGAGTTATCGCATCGTTTGGGTATCGAGGTGACGTTGGATTGAGATGTCACCGAAAGGTACAGCAAATATTTAGTCTTGATTACTCGTCAAACGAGCCGCTTCGTTTATCCGATCTCTGCAGAGCGACGCACGGAAAGAGAACCGCTCCGACGATGACTCGTGATGGAAATCGATGTCGATCGCGCACGTCTTCGGTTCTCGAACACGGAAGACGTAGTAGACTCAACAATTAGGTAAATGCTGGGAACGCGGGGGCGTTCGAACGGTTTCGTGAATCCGCGTATCGGAAGACGGAGAGGCTGAAGAGGATGTCAGTGACAGTGTGTCAAGGATCGACTACCGGCGCCAGGACTCCCAAGAAACACGAGACACGTCGCGGCGGAACAATGCCCTCTCAGCGTGCAGTCGAAGAAACATGTTCGACACTCGAAGGATCTGGGAACTGAAGACAGGTTTCACACTGAAATCTGACGCGAACCCAACAATCTAGCTTCTCCGTTTTTTAATCGCTAATATTAACTGATTAGCGATGCTACAATCAATTATAGATCGGTCGAGACTGCGCAGCATCTCGATCGCCCTACAAGTACAGTGACTCTGACCAATATGTACAGTTGCGGACAAAATTGAGTGGACAGGCAGTGGAAATCGTTATAAATAAAATTTAATCGAACTAGTATTACTACTATACACACAAGTTTTGTATATTATATATCCTTATGGTACATAGATCATTTTGTGCAAAACTCAAGTTAATGTTTATACTTTTGCACACAGAAATCGTACTTAACGGCAAAAAGTTAGCAAATTTCTCAGGGACAAAAATGAGTGGACATCTAACAAAGTGCAAGATTAATATTTAGTATGCCCCTCGTTTGCTTAAATTACCGCTTCTAAACGTCGTGGAGAACTGTTTATTATGTCTTCCACATAATCATTGCTAATTGCTTCAAATGCTGACTGTAAGCTTTGAAAATGGTTGATCTTGTTATTCCGTTTGTCCAGTGGTACCTTCGAGTCCAATTCACTCCATAAGTTTTTTATTAAATTTAAATGTGGACTCTGTGCTGGACTCTCGCCGGAATAAGTCGACTGTCCACTCATTTTTGTCCCTGAGAAATTTGCTAACTTTGCCGTTAAGTACGCGATTTCTGTGTAGAAAAGTATAAACATTAACTTGAGTTTTGCACAAAATGTTATATGTACCATAAGGATATGTAATATACAAAACTTGTGTGTATAGTAATAATACTAGTTCGACTAAATTTTTTATTTATAACCATTTCCACTGTCTGTCCACTCAATTTTGTCTAGAACTGTATTTGAACACCTTTTAAAACGCAATAACTTCTTTAGAAATGGACTGAACGTCTCGAATTCTTTTTAAATGCTAGAGGGATCAGTCTACTAGGCTATAACTAGAATACTTCTTTTAAATTTTGCTATTGCTTAGAATGACGAAAGAAAAGAGAAAGCTCTCATTTCTTTTTTATCTTTTTTATTCGAGCCTATAACGAAAATTTAAAAAATTCGTTTTGTAGATCTCGGTAAGTTATATGCGTATTGAAAATTGCATCGAAATCGATTGACATTGGTATGAGCTGTAAACAATTAAAGATCACAAAAATCGCAGTTTTGTCCCGATTTTTGACACTTTCGACCACTAAGTGCGAGAAATCTGCAGTTTTTTAAATCTTTTAATGCTTGTAGACTCGTCTTCGCGTCGGACGATTTCGGTGAAGTTTTCGGCATGTGTGTGTAACTTACCGAGATCTACGAAACGAATTTTTAAAAATTCTCATTATAGTCTCAGATAAAGAAGTTAAGGAACGGGAGTTGTTTATTTTGTACTCCGAGTAATATTAAAAGTATAACAAAGTAGTTTAGTCACTGTCTAATACACTAGTCCCTTTATCATCTAAAAAAAAAATTCAAATCGCTTAGCTCAGTTTTAAAAAAGTTATTGCGCTTTAAAAGTTGTCCGAATGTTAATGAGGAGTAACTGCAAATAAAAATGCTTCGATAGAAATTTGTCTAGGCAGAATCGAAAATATTATGATACTGAAAAATAATGAAACCTGCTTCGCGGTTTCTTTCATCATTACAGTGACTAGGAAGGTAAAGTTTACTTTGTATTGAAAGTTTTTTATTCTTTTATTTTTAAAAGTTTTTGTATTAAATGTAAAGAAATAGAAGTTTGCTTTAGTTTAACACCAGAACTACCGAGCCTTAAACGCAACTAATATACATGATTTTGTAAGAATAATAATGTTGAATTTATGTAAATGTGTGTGTGTGTGTTATGTACGATTTCTATTATAAGATATGCTATGATATTATAAAATATGCTATGCTACGCAACTAATTATACATGGTCTTGTAACAATAATAATGTTGAATTTACGTAAATATTATGTACGATTTCTATTATAATATATGCTTCGATAAAGAAATATATCTAAAAGTTGCTCATAGAGAGAAAGAGAGAGAGAGAGAGAGAGAGAGAGAGAGAGAGAGAGAAATGTTTTAATAATACCAGTAATCCTAAAAAAAAGAGAGAAACCAGTCATTTCAACTGGCTTAGTGTTAAGAAAAGAAATCACCACCGTAGAAGGAGTCTGGGAGATTCGGGATTAAATGAAAAGAAGAGTAGGCTTTTTAAATTACAACACTCTGTTTATTGCTAGTGACTTTTTATACATCGCTGACACGGTTCTTTATACAAAGGTTGCCTGGTTCTTAGCGAACCGTTCTCTAAATTCTAATTAACGCTCGTGGGGAAGGCGCGCGAAAATCGAAACCGACTCGAGAGACTCGCGTTTAATTACGAACTACGTAACAGGACACTTCTATTTACACACGTGACGTATCGCGGACGCGTATTTACAGACGATCGTCTCTTCTTTTTTACAGCGGGTCCCCGTCATCGTTCCTCCGGACGAGAAGAATCCATTGAACGCGGTCCTTCGACGTCGACAGACCGTTTCACGATTTATCGTTTATGATATGCTGTTGGAAAATCTTTGCCTTTCTACGCTACACGCAAACATCTCGTTTCGAAGAATCGCGAAATCAAAGAATTACAAAAACTGATACGAACATCACCGCGGTGGCGACTCTACGCTAATTAATCCTACTTGTTTTTCGTACGTTGCTCTCGATCGACGTTAACGCTACAACGTCCATCGATCGATAGGCTGTCGATAAAACAATTCGCAGAACGTTATTTTTTACTGTTCGCATCGACGAGGCGAGCCTGTGAAACGTGAACGGACGAACGTGTTTAATAAATAAATGAAACGAAATAAAACAGCTGACCCGGTGATTGTTGTAGCGTTAATAACATCGCCGTTCTACGTCCTAAGATCTCGTTTCTACGCGTTATACGCGTACGATGCACCGAACGGTACAATTGCACAAATTGCATAAATGCGTAAAGGAATCGCGGTGTTGAAATAAATAAAATTTTCCGAAGAGGATCGAAGAAATGGCTGAAGTTTAGTCGCGAATTGATGGAGATCGTCGATTTTATTGGATTTGGCTGGCCTGCGATTCCTGCTTCAGCTCCAGGGCCCACATGTGCTGCGGCCATCCGGTTCGCCCTTTGCCCTTCGACGACTCCTCGGCCATCAGGCTGGAGGCAGGGTGCAAACACGACTCGTTCTGCAATCAAAAGTAACGAGATCTATTTTTCCGTTCACGCGAAGCTCGTAGAGAAATGTGTAGCGTGACATATTCCACAGGGTGTTCCAAAATTATGGCACTTCTGGGAAATGAGGGGTTCCTCAGGTCATTCTGAGTAACTTTTTCCTTAGCGAAAATGCAATCCGCGACTTCGTTTACAAGTTATCAACGAAAAACAGTCCAGTAACGAAGTCCAGTTCCGCTGATTGGTCACTGTTTTTCGTTAATAACTCGTAAACAAAGCCGCGAATTGCATTTGTGCCAAGGAAAAAGTTACTTCAAATGACCTCTGGAATCCGTCATTTCCCGGAAGTACCATAATTTTGGGACACCTTGTATAAAAATCGTATAGTTCGCGACATGACAGCCTCCGTTTTAAAAATGTGTTTCGTTCTGAACAGAGATTGTATGAAAATTACACGATTATAATACGTAGCGGTCATCTTGTCGCAGACTGTAATTACGTTCGTTTAGCTTTAGAAGCCAGAGGTCGACGACCCCTCGAAAGAAAGAGATTTCGATTCCCTTCGTGGGTGGCGAGGAATCGCAGAAAATTGGGAAAACCACAGACCGCAGGGTTCGATATGGGTAGAAACCTGGCGTCGATGTTACGGAAACGATGAGACAATTGAAAAGAAACTATAATGAGCTATAATGAAGACCTGCGATGCCTGGCCGGTCCACCGCGATTCCCGTTTCCTCTGTCACACCTCACGAAAATCTCTTTTTTCCGTGCTCGTCACTATCCTGCTGGGTTCCATTGAAAACATGCTCGTCAGCCGAGCGCAAAATAAGCGCAAAATAATCCACGAAAACACGTTCAGTGCATTCGATGCACTCACTATATGCACTATATGCACAAAATGCATAAAATGCTTTTCGCAAAACAGACTAAAATATAAAAAAAGAAAATATATAAAATCGCATTCGCGATGCATTTGTGCTGGGTCAATGACATTTGTGTCGTACTATTAGTACACAAGATCCTGATAAAATTAAGTATACCGAACATTTTCTGAGAACAATGAGTTTGCTATTCGATGCACAACGTTTTCGAATGTTATTCCATCGAGGTGCAATATAGTCGGCAGCGGCGCTCCGTTGGAATCCGACAGCGCGAAAATCCAATGGAACTTTGTTTCTCTCTCTGTCTCGAAGAATCTCGAGATGCGATGACGCGTTTAAGGCCGAGCGCGACGAGCGAGGCTCCAATTAAAGAGGACGATGTTTAATCGCGGGCAACGCTTACGAAAGTGTACGTCTCGAGAGACTTCGAAAAGTCCACGAGGAAAGCATAAATCCTAAAGCCCTCGAGGGACTTTTCCTGTGAAGGTAATCGGCGTCGCTCGAGTACGTACTTCCCTAATTAACGCGAGGCAGCCACGATTCTCATTTAGAAGTCGATTATTAGCAGATCGTATTGCGAAGGCTCCTCGGATTCCCCAAACTTGGGGCCGATTTAAATCCCGCTAATATGAAAACGAACAACATTCGTTACAATCGGAGCTGGGTAAAATAGTTTTCTAAATGGCAAACACAGTAAATACATCTATTTTTGAAAATAAAATATCTTTTTGGTTCGAAAGAATGTACATTCAAAAATCAAATATTTTGCTCGTTGTAACAAATTTTTAAGATAATATTTCGAATAGTATTTTATTTGAAAAACACTGAAAATATCTGTACCATGGTTCGGAACATTTTATTTACTTAACTTATATTATCAACAAATAAAATAATTTTATTTTATTAAATCATTGAGTAAAATTTATTTTAGTAATCTAAAACGAACGAAGTATACAATTCCCCTGTATTATAAACGTACGCAAAAGATGTACATACTTTGTTACATGCGAACAGCTGTATTTAAAAACGTTAATCATCATTTTTACAATTTATTTTCAGGTTAAGAACTATGGGCAGTATTCTATTTTATATTTTATGCCATTAAAGTAAAAACNTAAAGTAAAAACTATTTTATTTTATGTTTTATCCATTAAAATAAAGATTATTTTATTTTATGTTTCATGCCATTCAAATAAAAACTATTTTATTTTATGTTTCATGCCATTAAAATAAAAACTATTTTATTTTGTTTTATGCCATTAAAATAAAAACTATTTTATTTTATGTTTTATCCATTAAAATAAAAACTATTTTATTTTGTTTTATGCCATTAAAATAAAAACTATTTTATTTTATGTTTTAGATGATCAAAATAAGCTTTAGCCCTGAATTATCAAAATCAAATATTTGATCTACTGTTACGTCCTACTCGAAGTACTATTTTATATGAATTATGAAAAATCTATTATTTAAAATAGTATTTCATATATTTTCTCCCTAAATATTATCCAGCCCTGGTTACAATCTCTTAGACACCTCGATCGAAACAATCCACCCTTGACAAAAATCTGTACAAACCTGATTCGCCTGAGTCGTCTTGCTCCTCCTGCCGTGCGAGAGGATCTCTGCCCTGAATGTCTGCGGCTCCTCTCCCTCGTCGCTGTCTAAGACCGCCATTAGATATCCAATGTAAGAAGCGGCGAGCCTAAGAGTCTTGATCTTCGACAGCTTAGTGTCCGCGGGAACGTTCGGTATGCAGTCTCGAAGGTCCGCGAAAGCGTTGTTTATGCTCTGCGTCCTCCTCCGTTCCTTTTTGTTCGCGGTGTTCCTCCTCTTCGGCCTCACCACCAAGCCACCCTCTCTCGCGGCTTCTCTCAGGTGTTGCTGGAAACCGCTCTCGATCTGGTTCATCGACGAGACACCGGAATACTCGCCGTCCCTCCTGAGGGTTTGGGGATGATGGTGATGGTGCAGCAGGTGATGGTGAGGAATCTCTTGTTGCGGTTGATAGACCAGGTTAGGGTAATGCTGGCTCATCGAGGGGTGAGGGTATTGTTGCAGAGGGGAGTAGCTGGTCTCCTGGACGCCGATCTCTTCGATCAGGGGTGGCGTCGAGGCGGTGGGGCTTCCTGCGCCGGAACTACCCCCGGAAATCCCGGAATCCGCGCCCCAGTACGTCGATTGGCTGTCCGCGTCGGGAACTGTCAGCGGACCTGCACAGAAATGGTTCCCGTTTCTTCATTCACCGAGCCGCTTTCCTTCTCCGCTCGCTAATTTACAACTCGCACGCCGAATACAGCAATTTCTCTCTGATTCGCGCACAAAAAATGGACAATTTGGGAAGAGGAGGTACGATTATTCGAGCCATGCGTCTCGTTCTTATAGTTGTAACTATAAAAACGAGCCGCGAAGCTCGAATAATCGTATCTCCTCCATTTTTCTGCGCAATCTGAGCGCGAATTAGGGAAGAATTACTGCATTATCGTTACACCGAAATTTATTAATCGCCAAATCGACACAAAAAGATATCTTTCAATTTCAATCGTTCGTGAAATGTATAAATTGATTGAACCCTGATGACGATCGTATACCCTAGAGAGTTGACAATTTCTGGAGATTAATTTTAATTGGTAGTTTTCTCAAGCAATTAATTGCTTCTTCTAACTAGATCTACCTGAAACGAGGCATCCAGCGCAGATCTATTCTTGACGTCTTCCCAGACTGTGACAGGTCATTTAAAATGCGACAAATTCTACAGAAAAAATCGTACACGAATGTTTCGACAGTCGTCATCTCGAAACGGATCGAAATGAGAATTCGCCGAACTCCGCGGATTCGTCCGAATTTGTAAAATCAAGAATCGACGACAGTCTTGCCTCCGATTTCTCGATGCAACGGAATTTCCAAACAAAAAAAAAAGAATTCGATTCAGGGGTGCGAAAGTGGAGACTTCGCATTTTAAAACAAGCCAAGTCTGACTATCCCACGATTTTTTCCGACGAAGTTACAGCACTTATCCCTCGGTCTTTCACCCCGACGAATCAGCGCACGCGAGAACAACCGTAAAGATTCAGGCCAACTCACCGTAGGGTAATTGCGTGACATAGTTGTAGGGTTGATGCCACTGCGGATAGTATTCCGGCTGCGTTTCGTAGCCCCCCAGCATCATCCCGTCGTCGAATCTTCTCGAACTGACACAGGAATCACAAAACTTGTTCCCCTTCTTTATCTTCTCGATCAACAGGATCCTCAAATCTCCACCATTTGCAGCGAGCAACAAAACCAAGAAGCGACTTCAGACAAAGATGCAATCCTTTGAGAAACGACTCTGAAGGATATCCTTTCACGGGAGACCGCAGCAGAACGCCGGAAGCCGAACGAACCGGTGGAAGCAATTTCTGGGGGGGTTGCAACAGTTTCAGGAATGTAACCGACGATTAGTATGACAGTGCACGGCGCGCACGACACTGTCGCGGGGCTCGGCGAGTTTCCGGATGCGGTCCAAGTGCCACTGAGAAGGGAGATTTCGGCTTCGGCTCGGCGGGGGCGCTTGTTATCCGATCGCAGCTCGGATCCCCAAAGTGGGCGTGGAAAGGCGCGAGTGGGGCGGAGCGATCGGAGATCCCCACCCAGGCGGCCTCTGCTCAATTCAATTAGTAAATTGAACGGGAATCAGCGGCGGCGAGCCATGATTTAGGATGCTGCCCGCCATCCTATCCTCCGATTCGCGATAGACCGCGGATCGCTCGATCCCAAGCTGTTACGCCAATCACCTCCGCCCTCCCTCTCGCCCGGCCGAGCGATCAGATTCTTGTTTGGAAGATATGGCATTCCCCACGCGCGTTGAGTAAGATTCACTCATACGAATCCGCGGTTTTGTCTTGTTCGTGCTAAAGGTTCGATCGATATCCTACAGATATTTACAGGGTGTCCTCGAAATAGGTGATCAAACTTCGTATTCTGCAATCACCGAGGATGGAAAAAGGTCATATAAATATATAGGCCCGGATACTCTTCGCGTTCTTTTCGGGATAAATACTTTTTGTATGCGAGATGAAATTTCAAAGAATTGTAACTTACTTGAAAATGACTTCTCTGCGCCACGGTACACGCTTCGCATCTACGTTTCGTAGACTGCGGAAAACGTTCGAAGGTCATGGACCATTTCGAATTTTCGTCACGTACCGTGACAATTAACCTTTTGCACTCGAGCGGCGACTCTGAGGCGCCACCAATAATTGCTGTACCATTTTTGCAAGTAGCTTTTACATTATTAAATTGGTTTATATTTAAAGAACTGGAAGTACTGTAGTTGCCAGTAGGCTCAATTTCATATGCATAAATTGCAATAAATCATATAAAATGGAAATACCGCAGATCAGAAAACATATTTTGGAATTAAAATAGCTTTGACTGCAAAGGATTAACCCTTTGCACTCGAGTGACGACTCTAAGGCGCCGTTAAAAATTGTAATTATCATATTTCAAAATAATTTTAACATTATCAGATTTGTTTGTATTAAAAAAAAAGATTTGTAAAATGTGTAGTTGTTGCATGCGTCACAAAATTCAATTTCATATGTATAAAATGCACTAGGTTATATAAAATGGAGATACTATAGGCTAGAAAAACTATTTCGAATTTCGAGTTAAAATAGCTCCGACTACAAAGGGTTAAAGTGTTCAGTGTCACGACATTGTCGATACTACTGTTGATCATCTCACCATAATTTGCTGTTATCTCGAAAACGAAGAGTTTCCGGACCTGTGTTTATACGACCTTTTCTCACCCTTAGAGGGTGCAGAATACTATACCGAAGTTTGTTCACCAATTTCGAGACCACCCTGTATACTGCCGATTTTAAAAAAAGATATCAGTCGCAGTCGGCGAAGGTCCCAAGAATCAGACTTGTTGTTCAAGACTTTCAGAGTATCAAGATTCACGGTTCAACGTAACAGATTCGCGGCACAAAGGATCGAAGGTCATTGCGTTTGACTCATCATTGACTCAATGGCAGATGCACGACCAGTCCGAAAGGCAGAAACGATCGCGAAAATCCGAGGGTGCCAAGACAATTCGCTTTATTTTTAGCAGTGTCTCGGTTACTTCGAATCGCGCCCGTGTGTATAATTAACGCGGAGAAAAATGAGCGCATCCGTCGAACGGCATCGCGTTTCTTTGAATCGGCGCGCGGCCAGCATCCTATTTGAAATCCGTCGGAGATCTCGAGTGGCTTTCGATAAGGGCCGCTTCTACGAGCGCCGTAATTAGCGGCAAAAAGACTTGAAAATAGTGTAGCGGTCAGCGCACGAGAGAGACGCCTAGCCCGGCTCTCCAGGGCCCGGCACAAGTGGCTTTAACCGGCTTTTTCCCAGGGCAACGCTTCGTCCGATGGCAAAAAGTTCCTTCTGTCACCGTGGATCACCGTCAACAAGTCGCGCCGTCTCTCCGCTTTTTCGCTATCAGCTCGATGCCACTCGAACAAAGCCAATTAATCTCTCGCAGTTGGAAATACAAATTCTGGGTTCCTGCTAGCAAAACTTCCGCCCCTTGTACCGCGAGAATAGCGTGTATAGAAAAGACCTTTAACCCTTTGGAGATGAAAAAACAATACGGAACGTTTTTCTCAATATTTAAGTAATCCATCTTTTTACTTATTTCTGCTTAAATAATCTAGTTTTCGAAGATTCTCCTCGCAAAAGGATAAAGATAGGGCGCGAAGAATAAGGCAGCAAGGTGTTAAGATAGGAAATCGATTATTAGACCGCTGATTTTATGCATTTATAGCAATAATGGATAAACACAGAACATCGAAGACAAAAGAAAAATTTGAAAATCCTGCTATCAGCTCTATGCCACTCGAACAAAGCCAATTAATCTCTCGCAGTTGGAAATACAAATTCTGGGTTCCTGCTAGCAAAACTTCCGCCCCTTGTACCGCGAGAATAGCGTGTATAGAAAAGACCTTTAACCCTTTGGAGATGAAAAAACAATACGGAACGTTTTTCTCAATATTTAAGTAATCCATCTTTTTACTTATTTCTGCTTAAATAATCTAGTTTTCGAAGATTCTCCTCGCAAAAGGATAAAGATAGGGCGCGAAGAATAAGGCAGCAAGGTGTTAAGATAGGAAATCGATTATTAGACCGCTGATTTTATGCATTTATAGCAATAATGGATAAACACAGAACATCGAAGACAAAAGAAAAATTTGAAAATCCTGCTATCAGCTCTATGCCACTCGAACAAAGCCAATTAATCTCTCGCAGTTGGAAATACAAATTCTGGGTTCCTGCTAGCAAAACTTCCGCCCCTTGTACCGCGAGAATAACGTGTATAGAAAAGACCTTTAACCCTTTGGAGATGAAAGAACAATACGGTTCGTTTTTCTCAATATTTAAGTAATCCATCTTTTTACTTATTTCTGCTTAAATAATCTAGTTTTCGAAGATTCTCCTCGCAAAAGGATAAAGATAGGGCGCGAAGAATAAGGCAGCAAGGTGTTAAGATAGCAAATCGACTATTAGACCGCTGATTTTATGCATTTATAGCAATAATGGAAGCAATAATTAATAGCAATTATATATAATAATTAATAATAATATAAATAATTAATAATTTATAGCAATAATTCGAATACATCGAAGACAAAAGAAAAATTTGAAAATCCTGCTGCACTACTTTCACTGTATTAACATCGCTAAAAGAGGAAACACATTTTTATCTAATTTCTGTTCGATGAAAAGGGACGATAAAAATGTTCAATTTGCATAAAGTCGATTACTATTCGACTCCTGCCTCTTGAAATTGCTTGATCGATAACGCGGCAAATGAGTTGAGAATTCTCCCGACGAGAATTCCTCGACTCTGCGATTGTTTCACATGGCCGCGGAAACACGGCAGAAGGAAGCTCGTGGTTTCCGAAGGAAGCTCCGGCGCAGCCATTTTTTCGGACGGTTATCTGTCTTCCTTTATTGGTTTCGAGTCCTGTAAACAACGTTCCGTTACAAGCGCGCTCGTCGAAACGGAGTTAACACGTCCCGCGAGCGTTTCAAAGTGAGCTTTACGACGACAAAGATGATTTAAGGAGGATTTTCCGGGAACGTACGGTTTTTTGGCGGCGGGCAGCGCGCTCACCCTTTCGGAGCGCACGGTCAAAGAGGGCATTTAGGTGATCTAAAAGCTGAGAATCCGAGGTCGGTCTTCCTTGAAACGTGACACCGTTCGGACTTTTATTAACCGAGATCAGGGACCGTGTTCCCTTAACAACGGGCCACTGTGCGCGCATCGACGACCGTATAGAAAAACGGGTTTGTTTATTATTCCAGTAGCGGCGAGCAACTTTTCTTCGAGTTTGGTGCGTCACACCTCTGGCTTCCACACCTAATTTAACTCCACTTTCAGGCTATCGTATTCGCTTGTTCTTTAGCAATTCGTTGGATCGGAGTAGACTCGAGACGGATTCGAACGTCGTTCGAAATTTCGATCTCTTGTCCGCCATATTGGAGGTTCGTCGGTCGTGCGCGACACGGAGTAAATACAGAGACGGGATATTTTTCTGAAAGGCAGCGATAACGTCGAGGTAATCGAGGTTCTTGAAGGAGGAAGGCCGCGGAAGGAAGGAAACGCGGAGGTTCGGGGGCTCGTTGTGGCCCGCGATTCACGGTTTAAAGGGCTGTCAGCGTTTTATGAATGAACCTCGAGGAGAGCGGACGTAGTAAGCAAGACGAAAAGGCTGGCTCGACGGCCGGCGGAGCAGTTTATGATATACAGAGGACACGTGTACCACGCCGGTGTTTATGTTTCGAATTTGTGACACCGGAACACATCCGAAATCTGGCGTGATCGCGGCCGACTCGTCGACAGAATCGCCCGGTAGCTTGTATCCGTTGCGGTTTCTTTCGGCCATCCCCTGACCCGCACACGTATGCACACATGTATCCTTGATCTAAACGTTATTTTAACAAAAATGATACAAATCGCGGGACAAAGTATTATCTTTGATTTGATTAATGATCGTATTGATTGTGCGCATTTTTCGTTGGACAGATCAATTTCTAAGCACGGACAGCAATGTGCTTCTGTGCATGCAATGTTAAATCTAAATATGGTCCACACATAATCCGAAGAATCGCATCACGGCAGATGGCAACGTCAATTTTTTACCGGTTCTCTATAAACCTTTAAACGTCAATTGCATAATTGCGTGCAATACTATTATGTATTCAAGGAGCTTTCAGCCCGTTTATCTATAAATAATAACAATAATAATAGTAATAATAATAATAACAATAATAATTTTGGGGGGGGAAGTGGAAATATCTTCAACATTACTTAATAGTAATAATAATAACTACAATAATAATAGTAATAATAATAACAACAATAATAATAGTAATAATAATAATAACAATAATAATAGTAATAATAATAACAACAATAATAATAGTAGTAATAATAACAACAATAGTAATAATGATAATAATAATAATAGTGATA